CTCTACCTATATTTATAGGACAGAGAATAACCGCACGCCTAGTTCAAATAATTAGCTAGCCCACTTTAATTAAAAAGTCCACTAATACTAATCTAATAAACAAAGATAATTACAATTAAATTGAATTATCTAACAGAATTTATAAAGAATAAATAGTAGATTGAGTTTTAATTTCAGTTGAATATAAAGAAAAAAGTAAATTTATAATTACGTTTTTAATATTTGATGGAGAAGTAAAAGAAGAATAGTAGAAAATGAAAAAGAAGAAAAAGAAGAAAAGAGAAAAGGAAATACATATGTGCACAAAAGCAAAATAAAGGAGAAGTAGAATCGATACACCATGTACGATGTATCGATCCCACAATATAATTTGTCTAAAAGAGTAGATAACTTGTAATTGAAAGTGTACATTTATTATTTATCAGTTGCCATCTGTATAACATTCTATTAATTACTAATAATAATTATTGATAATTGTAATTAGTAGTAACAGAATGTTATACAAATGGCAACTCATAAGTTATAAATGTATACTTCTTAAATTGTGAACAAGCCTTCTGAATAATCATTACCAACGCATCAAAGTCAAAAATATCAAATCTTATATCGTTTTAAAATCTTCAATCATACGGTGTGGGATATTTTTAGACTTTAGTAGTAATGTCTTTTTTTTTTACTCCAGGGGGGTCTGGGGGAGGGGGGCTGGGGGGAACCTGGAGTAATCAGGGGTGAAACCCACTCCATTGAGTTTCACACCCTTGTGTGCCTAGCGGGATTCGAACTCGAGACCTCCCACTAGGCACGGTAACCTCACAACCAGCTGGGCTCAGGGGCGGAGGGAGGGGGTGGGCTGGCTGGGCCATGGCCCAGGGCAATTTTTTTTTTTTGTATTATATATGAATTTTTTAAAAATAGTTAGAATTGGCCCAGTACAAAAAAAATATTGGCCCAGTGTATAGCCCAACACAAATAATCCGTCCAGTGAAGCTAAAGAAAAGTAGCGCAGAACCAAGCCTGCGTAGAACCAAAGCCGAGTGAAGAGACCGACGTTTTACCGATGGGCGATTTGCGCATCGCCAAGCCCAGCCGGCAGGCGGCAGCCCTGCGGCTAGCAGACCACTCCGTGCCTCGACCACGTACACCGCCTCTCCTCCGCCGATCGGCCAGACCAGCTACGTTCCATTGACCGCTGACCTCCTTCTCCTTCTCCAGACTCCCGTTCTGTCGAGAAGGTTTTTGTTGTTTCAGTTTTTTGTTTTTACAATTTGTAGTTTAATTTAAGTATTTTATTTGTTAAGATTGCTACTACAATTTGATAAATGATTTAGTAGTATCACCCGATTCGTTCGTATGATTTGTGAAGTAAACACTATAAGGATTTAGTTTGTGCTTTTAAACTAAACAAACGATTTAGTTTAATTTAAGTGGCCCACGATAAACCTAATAGTTTAAAATATTAATATGATTTATATAAATTCAAAGAAAATATTGATTAGTTTTTTATTCTTTTTTGCTAATTTTAGTAGGGATGGCTATTCAATCTACTTACAAAAAAGGCAAAAATCACATTTTGTTTGTTTTATAAGCCTAGTACACACTCAAAGTGACAAGAGTTAAATGTCTTGTTTGATGTTTGGATCTTATCAATGGAAATTGAACTTTTACAAAGATCGAGTGTACAAAGATAGAATACGTCGTTTTCAAATTAATTGGTTCAATGTATTTAGGGAAAACTATCAAATAGGTTCTCGAACTTTCATTAAAAATCAAGTAATTCCTTTTATAAGAGACTTTGTACGGCCGTCGCGATTTGGGGCGGTTCCCGGGGGAATTTTTTGATGAATTTTTTTGAGCATCTTATTCATCAGGTCTAGTTTACTCATACCAAATTTAAGCTAAAATTCAATTGGGAATGCATTCAAATTAATTCGAGAATGCAAAAATGCGCAGTTATCTTCAAGAATAATTTGAATGTGTTCCCGATTGAATTTTTAGTTCAAATTTGGTGTGCGTAAACTAGACTTGATGAATAAGATGCTCAAAACATTTTATCAAAAAATTCCACCGGGAACCGCCCCAAATCGTGACGGCCGGACACAGTCTCCTATAGAAGGATTTGATTGACTTTTTTTATGAAAGTTCGAGGACCTATTTGACAGTTTTCCCATGAATTTAATTGGTTAGAATACTCTCCAAGAACACACATAACGCATATTGTTTTATTTCCAGTTAACGTTTTAGTTTCAAACATTGTATTATTGTTCAAAAATATTACTATGAGTTCGAATGGATTTTAATCGTTATGTTCACACTATTGTCACTTTGAAAATATTTATTTAATTTTTTTAGTGTAAAGTCGGCCCAGGGTAGACATCTGTCCTGGCTACGCCCCTGGCTGGGCTGGAATGTTTGGTTGTAGTAATGTCTTTTTATAATAACTAGTAACTCACCCGTGCGATGCACGGTTTGAGAAATTTTCTTTCAAGTTTCCTAGTACAGTACCCGTGCATACGCACGGGAAATAATCTATGGATATATTTGTAATCATGATCAAATTAAGTAGAAAAGGAAACTAATTTCAAAAAATTGGTATTCTTCTTAGAAGCAAGTACAATATTTGAATATCATAAAGTGTAAGTTAATAAAATTAATATTAAGTAAAATATTAAACCTAAGTGTTAGAGATTTTGGAAAATCTCTTTGAATACGACATTGGTAGTAGTGTCGCCTCCATCCTTATCATGTATTAAAATCTTCAATCCATGTTTGCTTTGAACTCTCGATAATGCCACATACAATTGTCCATGACTAAAAACAGGTCTTGGCAGGTATAATCCAACTCTTTCCAGTGACTGTCCTTGAGATTTTTTTATTGTCATCGCATATGAGACCATTATAGGAAATGGTCTTCTGATAAGTTTAAAAGGCCATGGTGATTGAGAAGGAGACATACACATTCGAGGTATGTAAATCTCATCTCCACTATTGCCTTCAGACATGATTCGTGCTAGGGGTGGGATTTTGGAACCGGGAACCGTAGAACCGATTGGAACCGAACCGTTAACAACATCTAGGAACCGAACCGTTAACAATTAATACCTCATTTGTAGGAACCGAACCGAAGCGGTTTATAATGGTTCGGTTCCCGGTTCCTATAAAAAACATGTGCATGGAACCGTTAAGGAACCGTTATTAAAAAGAATAAAAAATAAATTAATATTAGTAGTAGTAGTAGTAACAACAACAACAACAACAACAACAATAATAATAATAAGAATAATAAGAATAATAATAATAATAATAATAATAATAATAATAATAATAATAATAATAATAATAATAATAATAATAATAATAATAATAATAATAATAATAATAATAATAATAATAATAATAATAATAATAATAATAATAATAATAATAATAATAATAATAATAATAATAATAATAATAATAATAATAATAATAATAATAATAATAATAATAATAATAATAATAATAATAATAATAATAATAATAATAATAATAATAATAATAATAATAATAATAATAATAATAATAATAATAATAATAATAATAATAATAATAATAATAATAATAATAATAATAATAATAATAATAATAATAATAATAATAATAATAATAATAATAATAATAATAATAATAATAATAATAATAATAATAATAATAATAATAATAATAATAATAATAATAATAATAATAATAATAATAATAATAATAATAATAATAATAATAATAATAATAATAATAATAATAATAATAATAATAATAATAATAATAATAATAATAATAATAATAATAATAATAATAATAATAATAATAATAATAATAATAATAATAATAATAATAATAATAATAATAATAATAATAATAATAATAATAATAATAATAATAATAATAATAATAATAATAATAATAATAATAATAATAATAATAATAATAATAATAATAATAATAATAATAATAATAATAATAATAATAATAATAATAATAATAATAATAATAATAATAATAATAATAATAATAATAATAATAATAATAATAATAATAATAATAATAATAATAATAATAATAATAATAATAATAATAATAATAATAATAATAATAATAATAATAATAATAATAATAATAATAATAATAATAATAATAATAATAATAATAATAATAATAATAATAATAATAATAATAATAATAATAATAATAATAATAATAATAATAATAATAATAATAATAATAATAATAATAATAATAATAATAATAATAATAATAATAATAATAATAATAATAATAATAATAATAATAATAATAATAATAATAATAATAATAATAATAATAATAATAATAATAATAATAATAATAATAATAATAATAATAATAATAATAATAATAATAATAATAATAATAATAATAATAATAATAATAATAATAATAATAATAATAATAATAATAATAATAATAATAATAATAATAATAATAATAATAATAATAATAATAATAATAATAATAATAATAATAATAATAATAATAATAATAATAATAATAATAATAATAATAATAATATTACAATAGCAATAATAACCATCACCACAACAATAATAATAAAACAATTTAAGATATTTAAGTAACAATTCTAATTTAATCAACGAAAACGAAATAATAAATATTGTACATGAGGTTGATATAATACATTAAACTCCTTTCTACAAATCAAGTGTTGTTCCATCACATAAATTTTATAAATATAAAATAACCCAAATAACTTGTTGATGATTGCACATATTCTACTTTACTATTTTCATGATATTTCTAATTATTAGATTTATTATGAATCAATGGAATGTAATAATGTTTTTTATATCTATACATGCGAACTCAATGTATTTTTTTATGTTTTGAAAGACTTGAAGTAGGCGTCCTATTCTTGCTACTATGATGACGAGTTACCTTCATCGCTCTCACACTACAGCGATTTTTATATTTTTATTTATTACATGAAAATTTAAATCATTTTTTGTTCTATTAAGTGTTCGCAGTTCATTAGTTAAGTTTGATCTTTGATGTTTGAAGTGATTAGAGCTTCAAATAAAATTCTAATACTCATTTTTTGAATTTTCGACATGTTTATGTTGTTTGTAGAAAGTAAATTATGTGTTAATTCTTAGATGAGAAAAAATTATTCTAGGAACCGGTAAAAGGAAGAACCGAACCGTTTACTACCGGTTCGGTTCCATAACGGTTCTTCATTTTTTACATAGGAACCGAACCAATTTCATTAGTTAAAACTTTTATAACGGTTCCACTCATTTTGAGTAAGAACCGAACCGGTCCCAGCCCTAATTCGTGCTCCGATGACATGATTTCCCAGTCTTGTGACAATCAATCTAGTTCCATTACATAGTCTTTACTGGTCTATATTTCTTAACAACATTACTGGAGTCCTAACCTTAAGCCGTATGTTGTGATTTGGGAGACCTGATGTTCTCAAGGAATTGAGAAATTCTGGTGTCAACGTTTCAAATGCTTCGTCTTCAACTACATCTGACTTGTCTACAGAATCGCAACTTAAATATTCTCTTTCTTCACTTGTAGTTATAAAAGTTCATTAGTCTTAATTTAATTATTAAATTTGTTTAAGAATTTATTTTGTAAGTAAATAAGGAAGGTAGCATTTTTATAATATTACTTGGGAGCGTTGAAAGAACATAGTCGTTTATTTTATCGACAATTTCAATAGTTAATGCCAATACAGCTCTAGACTTGAGAAATTCCTCATTTTTGTATTGCTCCAGCAAGTTAGGATACGTGCTACGAATTATTGAATCAATTGGATCATCAAATTCTTTAATCAAGAATTCATCTCGAATTTTTATTTCTGCATAACCATCGTTTGGCTCTGATATTTTTCCATCCCCCACATCCAATATCCATTTTGAAAATTCTTTGAGCTCAGTAGCACTTGTCATATCCAAACTATTTTGAAGTCGCATATTTTTAGTAAGAGACAGTACCTATCGATAAACAAAAAAAAGTAATACTTATATTTGAGTATAACTTGTAAAGTAATTATTCCAAAAAAAATTATAAAGTGATTAGGCGAAATAGTTAAATAATTAATGTAATTAGTGGTACTTTGTTTAAGCTAAAAGTGAACGAATGAATTTCAGCTAATATAAAGTAATTAGTGGTACTTTGTTTAAGCTAAAAGTGAACGAATGAATGTGAGCTAATATAAAGTAATTAGTGGTACTTTATTATTCATTATATTGTGGTTAAATGAATTTGTAAATTATAGTAAAAGTAAACATATTTGTTATGGTACTAAAAATGGAGTTAATACCTGACAGTCATCCCATAGATATGAAGAATTGATTGTAGCATTAACAATGTCTGAACGGCTTCCTCCAGGAATAACTGGTAAAGTTTGTCTGAAGTCTCCTCCAAAGACAACCACTCTTCCTCCGAATGGTAAAATTGAATTACCATCATTGTTGATGATGTCATTTAGGCTTCTGTCTAGTGCTTCAAAACAAAATTTATTAGCCATTGTTGCTTCATCCCATATTATCAACTTAGTCTGTTTTAAGAGCTCTGCAAGTTCACTCCCTTGATGTATATTGCATGTAGAGTTCTCTAGAGTAGGAACTTGGATTGAAAATTTAGAGTGTGCAGTTCTACCGCCAGGTAAGAGTAGAGAAGCTATACCACTGGACGCGATAGTTAAAACAATATGACGCTGAGAACGTAAGGCAGAAGCTAGTGTCCTCCACATAAATATTTTTCCTGTACCACCACAACCATATAAAAAGTATACTCCGCCTTTTTGGTTATTTGCAGCTTCCATTATTGTGTCAAATATGTCTTTCTGTTCATCTGCAACATTAGCATCAAAATATATGCAGGAAATCATTTTTCTTCTTGACTCTCAAAATCATTTAATTTGACTTATAAATCATATGAATTGTATTTATTTTACCGGTAAGAGAAGCATACAAAGTTTGGAACTCCTCACGCAACTTGGATGTATCATAATCACTTTCTGCATAAATAAGCTTATTCCCTAGTTGTTCCGTGATATATCCATTTGGATACGGTATTGAGGGATAATCTTTTAGACTTTTTCTCTTTTTTTGCATCAACTTCTCGATCTCCACAAGAGTTAAATTTTGCAACTCTTGATCACTAAGTTGTAAATCTACGAATGTAATAAACACAATTGAATTAGTAATTAGAAGAAGATGTTCATATATGTTGTATGTGTTCACTCTCATTATGTTTTTATTGTAAATCATTCAATTTGTCACATTGATGCAAATAAATTGCAAATGAGATATGCAGACAATTGAAATTATGAAATATTTTTATTTGAATATATTCTTTTATGAAAATGAATGACTAATTTACGTTACTTGACAGGTGAAATAAATTATATGTTACTTGATACGTGAATTATTTTAATACCTAAGGTAAGAAAAGTTGATTGCAGTAATCGGAAAATAATGTTAATTTATGGTAACAGGAAATAACTAATTTAATGTTTTACTAATTTTTTAATTATATAATTAGTAAAAAATTTAAAAGAGTAACATAGATCTGCTAATCTAATCATATATACTTTATGTTTTCTATTCGAATTCAAATATAAGGTGAATGCAATTCAGGGTGATTCTTTTAATCACAAATCTTATAACTTTTTTGGTAGAGTAAGCCTCGTGAATAATTTTTCATATTACATATGATTAGAGAACAGTTAATTTTTAATTGATCTGACTTACCTTGGATTTTCGAGAGCCTTCGTTGTTCATACAAAATTCCATCAGCCAACCACTGCCAAGTTTGTTCCCAGACATGCTCAGGTCTGCTGACGGGACATGATAAGAGCAGAGTTACAAACAATTTTCTCAAGTAGTGCCCTGATGCTCAGCCTTAACTTCTTTTAATGCTCCAATATATTAGGATGGTTGGCAACCGTCCTAATATCCTCACAACAATGTGGCCCTTTTATTACAGTGAGCATCATTCTTAAATAGAATAGTTCACCTGTTGTTGGAAATAAATGGGGAGAAGTTCGAACTTCGAACCTCTACCTATATTTATAGGACATAGAATAACCGCATGCTTAGTTCAAATAATTAGCTAGCCCACTTTAATTAAAAAGTCCACTAATTCTAATCTAATAAACAAAGATAATTACAATTAAATTTAACACCATATAATATATCTAACAGAATTCATAAAGAATAAAAAGTAAATTGAGTTTTAATTTCAGTTGATTATAAGGAAAAAAGTAAATTTATAATTACGTTTTTAATATTTGATGGAGAAGTAAGAGAAGAATAGTAGAAAATGAAAATGAAGAAAAAGAAGAAAAGAGAAAAGGAAATACATATGTGCGCGAAAGCAAAATAAAGGAGAAGTAGAATCGATACACCATGTACATGATGTATCGATCCCACAATATAATTTGTCTAAAAGAGTAGATAACTTGTAATTGAAAGTGTACACTTATTATTTATTAGTTGCCATCTGTATAACATTCTATTAATTACTAATAATAATTATTGATAATTGTAATTAGTAGTAACAGAATGTTATACAAATGGCAACTCATAAGTTATAAATGTATACTTCTTAAATTGTGAACAAGCCTTCTGAACAATCATTACCAACACTTCAAAGTCAAAAATATCAAATCTTATATCGTTTTAAAATCTTCAATCATACGGTGTGGGATATTTTTAGACTTTAGTAGTAATGTCTTTTTATAATAACTAGTAACTCACCCGTGCGATGCACGGTTTGAGAAATCTTCTTTCAAGTTTATGTGTGCTTAGGGATTCAAATCACACTATCAATTGATGACATCATCTATTTTCATGTAATATTGATATACATTAAAGCATTAAACGATACACACTTATAATATTATGGTCAAAATGAGAGTACTAAGCATTATTTAAAAGATAAAAAACATCCAACAAATACGTTGAAACCATAACATTGTAAAAATCCATTTAATGTAAACCTAAACATTGTTGAACACTTCTTTGAATACAACATTCTGAGTCTTGTCAGTGGTTTCTTCATCTTCATCAACAATTAGAATTTTCAAACCACAACGATTGGTAACCCTTGATACTACAACATACAACTGTTCATGGGTAAATACCGATTTTTTCAACAACAACCGAACACGGGACAAAGATTGACCTTGAGTTTTATTTATAGTCATAGCATATGAAGTCATAACGGGATATTGTCGCCAAGAAATTTGAAAGGCAAGGTGGCATCGGATGGTGTCAAGGACAATCTATGAATTAATACTTTTTGTTCAGCACTCACACCAGTTAAAATTTTCCCCTCCAAAACATGATCACCGAGCCTCGTAAGAATAAGATGTGTCCCGTTACACAACCCCATTGAATGATCGATATTTCGCAAAAGCATCAAGGGGTCCTCACCTTTAACATTAACTCATTATTCAGTACACCAGACAATTTTATATTACCTCCGTCCCATTTTATGTGTCTTAGTTTGACTTGGCACGATTATCGATGAAGTGGTTGAAAAAGTAAAAGTTGTGGTTGAGGTTTGAGTATAATAAAGTGAAATGATGTAGGTCACATATTTCTTTTCAAAAAAAGGAAAGGAGACACTTATTTTGGGACAACCCAAAAAGGAATGTAGGACAGGTAAATTGGGACGAAGGGAGTACTATTCAAGAACTCGGTTGTGTGCAGTTCTGCCATTAGATCGGTCGTAGAATCTACCTTAGAAACAGTGTCGGAACTGAGATATGTTCTTGAAACTTCACCAACATTAAGAGCCGTAATATAGTCATTAACAGCTTCAACCAAAGCCAGTGTCGTTGCCAAGATTGCACGATCACGCAAACAACTCATATCACCTGTAGATTCAACATATTTCGGAAATATGCTTTTAACATTCCCAGCTATAGGATCTCCATCTGCGTATCAATAGATCTTCAGGAATAGTAATACGAACATGACTATCATTACTTTCACCCGCAATACTGTCATCAACGTTGGCAATCCAATCTGAAAAGACCTTCAAATCGTAAGAATATGATGGATTAGTTGTGTTCTGCATTCGCATATTTTTATCAAATGAAGGTTTGTGCATTCCGACCACAGATATGATGAATTAATCGTCGCATTGACTATATCATGTCTACTCCCATGAGGTATCACCGGCAACACCTGCCGAAAATCAAAGGTTTATATAAATTAATTGAAGGTAAGTTATTTATTATAACTAGGTAATAAGGTGACTATAATTTTATACGAATTGCATTTTGTACACTAATTGTCTCTCTAAATGGGTAAAATAAGGGAGTAAAATATGTGAAAGTGTGTTATGTCATTCTGGATTTATACTTGAATCTAAATTTGTGGGAAAATGTTCAAATAGGTGCTTCTACTATTTCTAATACCCAAGTATGGTCTGGTCTGGTTTGTTTAAGTTTGGTTTGGTTTGAGACTGAAATAAGTCTAAGTATAAACATATCAAGTAATATGGTGAGTATGCATTTATACGAATTGCATTTTTATACGAATTGCCCGAGTAAATTGGCAAATAAGGGGGGGGGGGGTGCAAATATGTGAAAGTGTGTTATGGCATTATTAAACAATACTCAAATATGATAATTCTTCAATCGGTCCTTAACCGGCTCTATTCAATCCTAGACCGAACCCGAGCTAAAGAAAGCTGACTCAAACTAAATTTTTTCTATCTCTGATTTTCATAATCGATATCTTATGAATAATTTTTTATATCATCGAAAAACCAACAGAGACCGGATAGGTCCCACCATTAACGCCATCATCCACAAACCCGACCAATAGTGAGATTATGTGAAATGTATTACTGATTGAGGTCAATTACAAATATGAGTTTACAGATTTAATAAATTCTACTTATTTTAAAATGCAATTTAAAATTTTGTACGGAGTAGTTGACAGAAGTATGTCCTTCAAATATTTCAAATAAGAAGTTTAGCCGGCAGCGCCGCTTGAACGGGATGATTGGACGCAACGGAAACAGAAGGGGCTAGAAGCTTCGAGGTCCCTCAAGCTTGAACGGATGGAGGAAGAGTTCGTCGAATCGTAGCTCACCAGGAAAGTGATTCAATGGAAAGTGATTGTTGGGTTGTTTATTTGAACAGTTGCAGAGGTACTCAACGAGGGGTAGGATTTGAGGTTTTCTAGGGATTTGATGGAGAGAGTTTTGAACTCAATGAAACCATAGGGATTGAGCAGTAAGTTTGTCGTGGATGATGAAGATGGAAGACGACAGTGTGCTTCGATGATGAATCTGAAAATTTTCAAAGCTCAAGAATTGGGCGTGGTTGAAGTCGGAAGAAGATCTGGTGACTGATTTTGGGATCGGCACACCGTGCGCACGGTGGGTCGATCCCACGATATAATTTGCGGAAAATAAATGGGGAGAAGTTCGAACTTCGAACCTCTACCTATATTTATAGGACAGAGAATAACCGCACGCCTAGTTCAAATAATTAGCTAGCCCACTTTAATTAAAAAGTCCACTAATACTAATCTAATAAACAAAGATAATTACAATTAAATTGAATTATCTAACAGAATTTATAAAGAATAAATAGTAGATTGAGTTTTAATTTCAGTTGAATATAAAGAAGAAAGTAAATTTATAATTACGTTTTTAATATTTGATGGAGAAGTAAAAGAAGAATAGTAGAAAATGAAAATGAAGAAAAAGAAGAAAAGAGAAAAGGAAATACATATGTGCACAAAAGCAAAATAAAGGAGAAGTAGAATCGATACACCATGTACGATGTATCGATCCCACAATATAATTTGTCTAAAAGAGTAGATAACTTGTAATTGAAAGTGTACATTTATTATTTATCAGTTGCCATCTGTATAACATTCTATTAATTACTAATAATAATTATTGATAATTGTAATTAGTAGTAACAGAATGTTATACAAATGGCAACTCATAAGTTATAAATGTATACTTCTTAAATTGTGAACAAGCCTTCTGAATAATCATTACCAACACATCAAAGTCAAAAATATCAAATCTTATATCGTTTTAAAATCTTCAATCATACGGTGTGGGATATTTTTAGACTTTAGTAGTAATGTCTTTTTTTTTAACTCCAGGGGGGTCTGGGGGAGGGGGGCTGGGGGGGAACCTGGAGTAATCAGGGGTGAAACCCACTCCATTGAGTTTCACACCCTTGTGTGCCTAGCGGGATTCGAATTCGAGACCTCCCACTAGGCACGGTAACCTCACAACCAGCTGGGCTGGAATGTTTGGTTGTAGTAATGTCTTTTTATAATAACTAGTAACTCACCCGTGCGATGCACGGTTTGAGAAATTTTCTTTCAAGTTTCCTAGTACAGTACCCGTGCATACGCACGGGAAATAATCTATGGATATATTTGTAATCATGATCAAATTAATTAGAAAAGGAAACTAATTTCAAAAAATTGGTATTCTTCTTAGAAGCAAGTACAATATTTGAATATCATAAAGTGTAAGTTAATAAAATTAATATTAAGTAAAATATTAAACCTAAGTAATTAGTGGTACTTTGTTTAAGCTAAAAGTGAACAAATGAATTTGAGCTAATATAAAGTAATTATTGGTACTTTGTTTAAGCTAAAAGTGAACGAATGAATTTGAGCTAATATAAAGTAATTAGTGGTACTTTATTATTCATTATATTGTGGTTAAATGAATTTGTAAATTATAGTAAAAGTAAACATATTTGTTATGGTACTAAAAATGGAGTTAATACCTGACAGTCATCCCATAGATATGAAGAATTGATTGTAGCATTAACAATGTCTGAACGGCTTCCTCCAGGAATAACTGGTAAAGTTTGTCTGAAGTCTCCTCCAAAGACAACCACTCTTCCTCCGAATGGTAAAATTGAATTACCATCATTGTTGATGATGTCATTTAGGCTTCTGTCTAGTGCTTCAAAACAAAATTTATTAGCCATTGACCATTGTTGCTTCATCCCATATTATCAACTTAGTCTGTTTTAAGAGCTCTGCAAGTTCACTCCCTTGATGTATATTGCATGTAGAGTTCTCTAGAGTAGGAACTTGGATTGAAAATTTAGAGTGTGCAGTTCTACCGCCAGGTAAGAGTAGAGAAGCTATACCACTGGACGCGATAGTTAAAACAATATGACGTTGAGAACGTAAGGCAGAAGCTAGTGTCCTCCACATAAATATTTTTCCTGTACCACCACAACCATATAAAAAGTATACTCCGCCTTTTTGGTTATTTGCAGCTTCCATTATTGTGTCAAATATGTCTTTCTGTTCATCTGCAACATTAGCATCAAAATATATGCAGGAAATCATTTTTCTTCTTGACTCTCAAAATCATTTAATTTGACTTATAAATCATATGAATTGTATTTATTTTACCGGTAAGAGAAGCATACAAAGTTTGGAACTCCTCACGCAACTTGGATGTATCATAATCACTTTCTGCATAAATAAGCTTATTCCCTAGTTGTTCCGTGATATATCCATTTGGATACGGTATTGAGGGATAATCTTTTAGACTTTTTCTCTTTTTTTTTGCATCAACTTCTCGATCTCCACAAGAGTTAAATTTTGCAACTCTTGATCACTAAGTTGTAAATCTACGAATGTAATAAACACAATTGAATTAGTAATTAGAAGAAGATGTTCATGTTGTATGTGTTCACTCTCATTATGTTTTTATTGTAAATCATTCAATTTGTCACATTGATGCAAATAAATTGCAAATGAGATATGCAGACAATTGAAATTATGAAATATTTTTATTTGAATATATTCTTTTATGAAAATGAATGACAAATTTACGTTACTTGACAGGTGAAATAAATTATATGTTACTTGATACGTGAATTATTTTAATACCTAAGGTAAGAAAAGTTGATTGCAGTAATCGGAAAATAATGTTAATTTATGGTAACAGGAAATAACTAATTTAATGTTTTACTAATTTTTTAATTATATAATTAGTAAAAAATTTAAAAGAGTAACATAGATCTGCTAAACTAATCATATATACTTTATGTTTTCTATTCGAATTCAAATATAAGGTGAATGCAATTCAGGGTGATTCTTTTAATCCCAAATCTTATAACTTTTTTGGTAGAGTAAGCCTCATGAATAATTTTTCATATTACATATGATTAGAGAACAGTTAATTTTTAATTGATCTGACTTACCTTGGATTTTCGAGAGCCTTCGTTGTTCATACAAAATTCCATCAGCCAACCACTGCCAAGTTTGTTCCCAGACATGCTCAGGTCTGCTGACGGGACATGATAAGAGCAGAGTTACAAACAATTTTCTCAAGTAGTGCCCTGATGCTCAGCCTTAACTTCTTTTAATGCTCCAATATATTAGGACGGTTGGCAACCGTCCTAATATCCTCACAACAATGTGGCCCTTTTATTACAGTGAGCATCATTCTTAAATAGAATAGTTCACCTGTTGTTGGAAATAAATGGGGAGAAGTTCGAACTTCGAACCTCTACCTATATTTATAGGACATAGAATAACCGCATGCTTAGTTCAAATAATTAGCTAGCCCACTTTAATTAAAAAGTCCACTAATTCTAATCTAATAAACAAAGATAATTACAATTAAATTTAACACCATATAATATATCTAACAGAATTCATAAAGAATAAAAAGTAAATTGAGTTTTAATTTCAGTTGATTATAAGGAAAAAAGTAAATTTATAATTACGTTTTTAATATTTGATGGAGAAGTAAGAGAAGAATAGTAGAAAATGAAAATGAAGAAAAAGAAGAAAAGAGAAAAGGAAATACATATGTGCGCGAAAGCAAAATAAAGGAGAAGTAGAATCGATACACCATGTACATGATGTATCGATCCCACAATATAATTTGTCTAAAAGAGTAGATAACTTGTAATTGAAAGTGTACACTTATTATTTATTAGTTGCCATCTGTATAACATTCTATTAATTACTAATAATAATTATTGATAATTGTAATTAGTAGTAACAGAATGTTATACAAATGGCAACTCATAAGTTATAAATGTATACTTCTTAAATTGTGAACAAGCCTTCTGAACAATCATTACCAACACTTCAAAGTCAAAAATATCAAATCTTATATCGTTTTAAAATCTTCAATCATACGGTGTGGGATATTTTTAGACTTTAGTAGTAATGTCTTTTTATAATAACTAGTAACTCACCCGTGCGATGCACGGTTTGAGAAATCTTCTTTCAAGTTTATGTGTGCTTAGGGATTCAAATCACACTATCAATTGATGACATCATCTATTTTCATGTAATATTGATATACATTAAAGCATTAAACGATACACACTTATAATATTATGGTCAAAATGAGAGTACTAAGCATTATTTAAAAGATAAAAAACATCCAACAAATACGTTGAAACCATAACATTGTAAAAATCCATTTAATGTAAACCTAAACATTGTTGAACACTTCTTTGAATACAACATTCTGAGTCTTGTCAGTGGTTTCTTCATCTTCATCAACAATTAGAATTTTCAAACCACAACGATTGGTAACCCTTGATACTACAACATACAACTGTTCATGGGTAAATACCGATTTTTTCAACAACAACCCAACACGGGACAAAGATTAACCTTGAGTTTTATTTATAGTCATAGCATATGAAGTCATAACGGGATATTGTCGCCAAGAAATTTGAAAGGCAAGGTGGCATCGGATGGTGTCAAGGACAATCTATGAATTAATACTTTTTGTTCAGCACTCACACCAGTTAAAATTTTCCCCTCCAAAACATGATCACCGAGCCTCGTAAGAATAAGATGTGTCCCGTTACACAACCCCATTGAATGATCGATATTTCGCAAAAGCATCAAGGGGTCCTCACCTTTAACATTAACTCATTATTCAGTACACCAGACAATTTTATATTACCTCCGTCCCATTTTATGTGTCTTAGTTTGACTTGGCATGATTATCGATGAAGTGGTTGAAAAAGTAAAAGTTGTGGTTGAGGTTTGAGTATAATAAAGTGAAATGATGTAGGTCACATATTTCTTTTCAAAAAAAGGAAAGGAGACACTTATTTTGGGACAACCCAAAAAGGAATGTAGGACAGGTAAATTGGGACGAAGGGAGTACTATTCAAGAACTCGGTTGTGTGCAGTTCTGCCATTAGATCGGTCGTAGAATCTACCTTAGAAACAGTGTCGGAACTGAGATATGTTCTTGAAACTTCACCAACATTAAGAGCCGTCATATAGTCATTAACAGCTTCAACCAAAGCCAGTGTCGGTGCCAAGATTGCACGATCACGCAAACAACTCATATCACCTGTAGATTCAACATATTTCGGAAATATGCTTTTAACATTCCCAGCTATAGGATCTCCATCTGCGTATCAATAGATCTTCAGGAATAGTAATACGAACATGACTATCATTACTTTCACCCGCAATACTGTCATCAACGTTGGCAATCCAATCTGAAAAGACCTTCAAATCGTAAGAATATGATGGATTAGTTGTGTTCTGCATTCGCATATTTTTATCAAATGAAGGTTTGTGCATTCCGACCACAGATATGATGAATTAATCGTCGCATTGACTATATCATGTCTACTCCCATGAGGTATCACCGGCAACACCTGCCGAAAATCAAAGGTTTATATAAATTAATTGAAGGTAAGTTATTTATTATAACTAGGTAATAAGGTGACTATAATTTTATACGAATTGCATTTTGTACACTAATTGTCTCTCTAAATGGGTAAAATAAGGGAGTAAAATATGTGAAAGTGTGTTATGTCATTCTGGATTTATACTTGAATCTAAATTTGTTGGAAAATGTTCAAATAGGTGCTTCTACTATTTCTAATACCCAAGTATGGTCTGGTCTGGTTTGTTTAATTTTGGTTTGGTTTGAGACTGAAATAAGTCTAAGTATAAACATATCAAGTAATATGGTGAGTATGCATTTATACGAATTGCATTTTTATACGAATTGCCCGAGTAAATTGGCAAATAAGGGGGGGGTGCAAATATGTGAAAGTGTGTTATGGCATTATTAAACAATACTCAAATATGATAATTCTTCAATCGGTCCTTAACCGGCTCTATTCAATCCTAGACCGAACCCGAGCTAAAGAAAGCTGACTCAAACTAAATTTTTTCTATCTCTGATTTTCATAATCGATATCTTATGAATAATTTTTTATATCATCGAAAAACCAACAGAGACCGGATAGGTCCCACCATTAACGCCATCATCCACAAACCCGACCAATAGTGAGATTATGTGAAATGTATTACTGATTGAGGTCAATTACAAATATGAGTTTACAGATTTAATAAATTCTACTTATTTTAAAATGTAATTTAAAATTTTGTACGGAGTAGTTGACAGAAGTATGTCCTTCAAATATTTCAAACATCTTTTCTCTCGCACTAAACCCTCTTAAAATCCTTCCTTCTAGTAAAATGCTTTGCAGAAACGATGCACAAATGATTTTGACAAAGAATTTTTCCTTTTCCAGAGGTTTATATACATTAATTAAAGGTAAATTATTTATAATGAGTAAGTAATAGACTAACTTTACATATATACAAAGTGCATTTTGGACGAATAAACTGTCAAAACAGGGAGGTGCAAATATGTGAAAATGTGTTATGTCATCTTTAAACTACATGAATATAAATTATGTGAAAATGTTCAAATAGACTCTTCTACTATATCGAACATATCGGTTGAGTCCACATATAAAAAGAATAGCACTATGTATCATTTAAGCATAATTAGAGCCCGTTTGGTAATCTTGGTTTTCGGCTTATCAAGCTTATCGGCCAACTTTTTCACAAAACACGTAACTTTCGATTTCGCGAGCTGTATTGTGTAATAAAAAAACGTAAGGTTAAAGTTACTTTTCTATCTGTATTGGTGAAGTTGTTGTAGAGGATCATTTTAGTTATTTTTACATGTAATTTTTCTTTATTTTATTAATAAAATATGCTACCTCCGTTCCAATTTGATGGTACCGTGTCTTTCTCTTTTGGTCAACACAAATCACTCTTAATCTCTTACTTTATGTATTAAAGTTTAATCAAATTTAATCTAGGTCTTTGCGACTTTGTAAAGTTTTTAATGTAGATTTTGAATATGTAATTTTTTTTCTAAAAATAATTTGAGTGCGGACAAAGATCTATTTGCTTTATCATCACTCAAACTTCGTAAACCGCAATGGTATCATCAAACTAGGACGGAGTAGGCATGGAGCCGGTTCGAGCCACCCGACCCGGGAACCGGCCCGGCCCGATCATTCGAACCGGTACCGGGTGTTGACCCGAACCACAGGGGAAAGCGGGGGTGGGCTCGGGTAGGCTTAAATGTGAACCGGCCCGGCCAGTTCAGGCCTGTTTTAATTTTTTTTTCTTTTTTTGATTGGGCTGGGTTTAAATGGGCTGGGCCTGGTGTTTCCGATGGGTTTGGGGGATGGGGGTAGGGGATGAAATAATTAAGAAAACAAAAAAATGAACCGAGCCCGGCCCGGCCTAGCACCGGTGGGTACCCGGGCCGGTTCCGGGCCTACCCCCAAACCCCTAAAGCCGACCAGGCCTAGGCCCGGCCCGGGTCCATGCATAGGACGGAGGTAGTAGTTTTAATATTATTTTTTCATAAATAAGCAGAACCAGCCAACCGATTCAGGCAAATTTGGTATTACCAAACTGACACTTATTTCAAATTTGGTATTATCCAGCAACCCTGACCATCTATAATAATTCCTTTTAATACATTGCTTGTAGCACAGTAGCACACCCATCGATGCAGGGTTGGTGAATATTCTCCATATCATCGGGAAAGAAATTAAATTAATTAAACTATCTATGTATTACTCAAATTGCAATCCTAAAATTAATCTCCAACTCGTAAACAATTCCCTACTTATCGTACATTGTATCCCTACTTTGCAGACCTCTAAATTGCAATCCTAAAATTAAACCCACACCCACACCCACCACACCCACACCCATCTAGTTTCTCTCCAAGATTCAAACAGCTTAAGATTTGCAGCATTTCACTAATCATCTAGTATCAAATTACCTCATTCATACACCCATCTAGTTAAACCGACATCCACAGAGCTACAATTCAAAACCCATCTCTGCATCTTCGTTTCACCTATCTGGTTTCTCTCCAAGATTCAAAGAGCTTAAGATTTGCAGCATTTCACTAATCATCTAGTATCAAATTACCTCATTCATTGGAAACTACGAGTGGGCAATTCGGTTTACAGTTCGGTTTTCTTCGGTTTCGGTTTATTCGGGTTGGGAGAACTTGTACCAAACTAAAACCATTTGTGTTTCAGTTTGGTTTCGATTTGAAGTTGGTTTCCCAAAGTAAAAAATATTATGTTTTATTTAGTTTGATTTGATTCGTTTGCTTATGTTTATTATTTTATTTGATCAAATTCTATATTATAGAATTAGAAAATGAAAGTATTAGTCCATCTCATCTTTTTTTAATTTATTGATTATTTAAATAAAATGTAAAAGAAAATAAAAGATAGAAAAATAAATAATAAAATATTACTACCTCCGTCCCTTTTTATTTAGCCATCTTTGACTTTTCCAGTCAAAGGTGATTAACTTTGATCCATTATTTTAATTAACATATTTATGTAAAACATAATAAATTTATACTTTTATGATAGTATTTTCAACAAAGAACATTTTCATATAATTTTCATATTATCAATATTATCGTGTATAAATATATAATCGGTCAAAGTTGAACAACTTTGACTTGAAAAAAGGTGTTTGGCTAAATAAAAAGGAACGGAGGGAGTATAAATTAAAACTTCTAACATCTTTTATATCACTACAAAAAATTCATTTCTTACAGAAAATAAGATAGTTGATTAGCATTTATAATCACATAAAATATTCAAAAAAAAAAACTAAAAGAGTCGGTGGTACAAATGTTGTAATATTCACAATTTTATTCAAATGAATCAGGTAAAAATATAAGTGCAATTTGCTATTGTTATAACCAAACATAATAAATACAAATATGTCATATTAGCTAACTTTGTCATCAGTCTTAGTGGCGCCTTAATAGACCGCAATCAGTCTTCTCACAGCGCCTCTCTCCGCCCTATCTCTAATGATTGAGCATCCATTCGCCTTCGTTGAAATGTCTTTGGCCTGAACAGTTATTGCATATGCCCCTGTTCGGCAATATCACAAAGGTTAACAACATCTTTACACATACACGATTAGCATACACGATTTTGCACCCCTCAGAATGGTTTTACTGAAGTTCTTGTGTCAATTTCAGGTAGAAGTTGGTAGTTAGTATATTTCTTAAGAGTATAAAGTAATACGGAGTATTTTTTAGCAGTCAATTGAGAGATATACGGAGTATTTTTTGGATATTCTGTTGAAACATTTCTGTTCATCCTTCTGGCGAATGTTTCAGAATATTCAGATTCAAAGATTTTTTTTCCTGAAAATTCTTCATCACATTTTTTTACGGAAGTCAAAAAATACTCCTGAGCATTTCTTCAGTGGTTTGCACACCGTAGTATACTTCTATTCCGAGTCATTCGCATCACTCAAACCTCCTATTCCGACTATGAATGGCGACCATAGTGGTGGGGCAGCTTTACAGAAAGATGCGCCGTGAGGGCCGCCACTACTGCTAGACCACAGTTTGAGACACAGGTATACACACAGCTTCAGACACGGGATTACACACAGCTTCAGACACGGGATTACACACAGCTTCAGGCACGGTTTTACACACAGCTTGAGACACAGGTTTACACACAGCTTGAGACACAGGTTTACACACAGCTTGAGACACACAGGTTTACACACAGCTTGAGACACAGGTTTACACACGGCTTCAGACACGGGTTTACACACAGCTTCAGACACGGCTTGAGACACGGGTTGACACACGGCTTGAGACACGGGTTGACACACGGCTTGAGACACGGGTTGACACACGGCTTGAGACACGGGTTGACACACGGCTTGAGACACGGGTTGACACACGGCTTGAGACACGGGTTTACACACGGCTTGAGACACGGGTTTACACACGGCTTGAGACACTGGTGTACACACGGCTTCAGACACTGGTGTACACACGGCTTCAGACACTGGTTTACACACGGCTTCAGACACTGGTTTACACACGGCTTCAGACACTGGTTTACACACGGCTTCAGACACTGGTTTACACACGGCTTCAGACACTGGTTTACACACGGCTTCAGACACTGGTTTACACACGGCTTCAGACACTGGTTTACACACGGCTTCAGACACTGGTTTACACACGGCTTCAGACACTGGTTTACACACGGCTTCAGACACGGGTTACACAACTTGAGACACAGTCAGACACAGGTTTACACACAGCTTGAGACACGGGTTTACACACAGCTTGAGACACGGGTTTACACACAGCTTGAGACACGGGTTTACACACAGCTTCAAGCACGGGTTTACACACGGCTTCAAGCACGGGTTTACACACACCTTCACACACGGGTTTACACACACCTTCACACACGGGTTTACACACAGCTTCACACACGGGTTTACACACAACTTCACACACGGGTTTACACACAGCTTGAGACACGGCTTCAGACACGGATTCGGACACGCTTACACAGCTATAGACAACACTGACAGAGTTAAGAGCCTAGTATGAAGAAAACTGGAATATTAATTTGTTTGCAAACAAATGAATTCAAAATTGTTTTCATTTACTAGTGGTTGATAGATAAAAATTACTGTTTACATGCTCAAATTGTAAACAGTTCGCAAGTGTCATAAAAGTCATGTCACACGATGCTCAAAAATGTAAAATTAATTTAAGGCGGCAAACTATTAATACAAATATGAAGGTGCAGCACCGAGAATTGAACATATCAATACCATTTTGTTCAAACAAGGAGAACCGCATTGATGCAGCCATCATTTTCAGGATTATTCGTCACTTGAGCATACTTCCCTGCATAACCCCATGTTGTAAATGAAGCTTGTATAAAGAAAAGGCATGAAAAACATGCATAATTATTAGGAGTGGCAAAGAATTCATTTCCCTACTGTCTTTCCAAAGGTAAATTCATTCCATTGCAACTAATCCACAGATTTTGTACTCTTTTGGGACTCTTTTAAATAGTACTCCCTCCGTCCCCCTAAGTTTGTCCCTTTTTACCTTTTTCGTCCGTCCCACTAAGTTTGTCCCATACCATATTTGGTAACATTTGAGTGGTTAGAATTCATTCTTACTTTATTTACACTTTATCAATTCAATACCAACCACACAATTCCACTTTTTCTTAAAAACCACACCACACCCCTCCGTCCCAAACTTAGGGGGACGGAGGGAGTAGTTTTTTATCATCCAAACCATTGAAGAGTAATAAAAAATTGACAGGTTGGATATTTATTCAATGGAAGGATATTATTAAATAGCTCAAAATATATTATATTATTCAATGTGGGTGTTAGGAACTCAACCCAAGCAGTAGAAAATTAGCAATATATTGAAGAAGGTCGCAGAGTTACAATGGCGTGCAAGACAGAAAGAGAAGAAACAGGTTGGGACACTTCGAGAGGTCCCGCTCTCCCAGCCGATTCTACTCAATTCCCCCCCCCCCCCTCCCTCTTCCTCTATTCCTTCTATTTATTCTTTTCTAATGAGGCTTCCCCTCAATCTAACTACTTACTTGGCCCAGCCCATTTCCTCATTACACTTTATTAAAAATATTCATTATTATATCTATTATATCTCACGCCATAAGCCCACATAAGCCCATAAGTCCAGGTCCCTATCATCACTCCCCCCTTTGACAACCACCTTGTCCTCAAGGTGGGTGATAGGAGACAACCTTGATTTTTAACTTCCTCTTCATCCTGGAGCCTCTTCCTTCCCAGTACCTCCCCGATTGATGAACCATGATCTTCAGTAGCTTCACTCCTAGTCCCCTCTGTATTGCATATCTCAAAGCTTTCAACCTATCCCTTGAAAGATGCTCCTTACTGAAAAACTCATACAGAACTTCATCCGCACACATATCAAGAGAAGGTTCAAGTGGATTTGAGTCTTTGTGTTGTGTTTCTCCATCTGCCGCAGTTAACTGTTTAGATATTGCTGCAAACAGTCTCTGAAAACAAACCATCATCCCCCATAATCAGTGTGTCCATGTCTTTGATGAGTTGCAGGAACTTGTGACTATGAAAACTCAATGTTTTGGCATCCTTCAATCCTTTGTGGACCTGCTGCTCTGTCATCTGCCGAAGAGTGATGACACAGTGTGCCAACTCCCTCAAGTTATGCAGTTTTAACTTTACAAACCTCTTGCTTCTTCTCCCATCCGGGCCAGAACCAAATAGAGTAGGGACCTCTTCCATAAGAGGAATGATCCTTCCTGACTCCTTAACCTCCATAACTAATGCAGTCACACAGGCCTCCAATTCACCCCTCTCCTCAGCACCAGCTATCAATAAACCAATGTCCGAAGACCTAACACTCCTTTCTTTGCATACATCAGTGCCAACTATATTGTCATGCTCCTGATTAAACACAATCCCTAATCCTCCCTCTTCATGAGATATTGCAAACTCATCAACTGGCCAATGCATTGTGGCAGCATCATGTTGAATGTCTGATTGTATTCCATTTTCTAGGACACTGATGAATACTGCATCTCTCGCTTTGCTATTAATTTCATTAATAGCAACAATATACAAAGTAGCCTGGGACTCATCTACTTGTTTATTAACAATAAGGATGTCCTGGTGAGCATAATCTGTAAATTTAGCTGCACCTATCTCCGAACCTTGAGTTCCATCTACCAGGGTTGCAGATGTAACCGGACCTATATAAATTTCAGGAACCACCTTGGTCCCCAACTCAGAAGTATTTGAGCGAGCACTTTTATAATCAGAAGATTTATATTCCCTGGCAATCGATGACTGACTCACCACATAAGAGATCTCCTCGCATCCCTCATTACCATCGATGTACGTACTTTTGGAGGGAAGTTGTCGCTGACGGGTAGACTCTGACTCAACTTGCGCACAAAGTAGAACTGTTCGAGGCGAAGCGGGTGGAGCTGTGAACAACGAAGCTTGCAAATTGAAACCTCCTGTCGATCTCGTCTCACTTGGAGGAGAACTGAGATAAGCTGTCTGCGACACCGTCTGCGGACTGGGAACATCTGCTCGCTTCAACACCTGAGAACGGGAAGCTTCTCCTCTGGATCGCGTCATACTTGATCGTGAACTGTTGGCGGATGTTGAAGCCTGAGATTTAGATCGATCGAAATTTCCTCCTGCAGCTGAGGACTTCCGACTCTCTTCGTGGGTCCTCCTAGGTGTTCGCGATTGTCCTCGCGAGCGGTGCTGCTTCTGGTTCGTCACCAAATTTCTCAGCTCTTCTATCCTCGCATCCATCTTCGCATCCATCCTCTGTTCCACGTTCAGCATCCAGTTCCGCATCTCCTCTACTGTTGATCGCAGATCCTGAACGCCGTGTTCCATCGATTCAACTCTGTGTTCCATCGATTCCACTCTGTCTTCCATCCGAGCTCTATTCCAGGTCATTCACAGATTTTCCAGGGTCGTTTGCTCTGATACCAATGTTAGGAACTCAACCCAAGCAGTAGAAAATTAGCAATATATTGAAGAAGGTCGCAGAGTTACAATGGCGTGCAAGACAGAAAGAGAAGAAACAGGTTGGGACACTTCGAGAGGTCCCGCTCTCCCAGCCGATTCTACTCAATTCCCCCCCCCCCCCCCCCCCTCCCTCTTCCTCTATTCCTTCTATTTATTCTTTTCTAATGAGGCTTCCCCTCAATCTAACTACTTACTTGGCCCAGCCCATTTCCTCATTACACTTTATTAAAAATATTCATTATTATATCTATTATATCTCACGCCATAAGCCCACATAAGCCCATAAGTCCAGGTCCCTATCAGTGGGAAATCCATCCATTTTGCAGCTCCTTATAATAACAAGGAAAAAAGAACAAAAAACAATCTTACCCCAGACAACTTTTCCAGCAGGAGTTACAAGACCAAGTTCACTGACGTTCACCTGATATCAGGGCGGGGTCAATAATTGAAGCATAATCTATATATAACTTTAAGAAGAGCATTCAGCCTAAAAGGCATAACATAAAAGGCATTTCTTGATGGTTTTCATGTGACTTATCAAGTTGGCCCTCGATAATAAAAATTCTACTCAATTATTGTAAAGTTAGGTACCAGGCCGGAGAACTATTCGTAGTATTGGGTTGGTGGCCATAGGCTCCTACAAAATTCAAAAGGCACTTTCATTTCTTTTTATGACAGCACCCCTTGAATTCCTTGCCAGTCCGTCATCTTCATGTATAAAAGGCCTTCAGAATTTGGTATGCACATGTGGAATAATTTATACATGCAGCACAGACTATTTTTTCAATAGCAGGCGGTGAGTTCTTCAGGTATATTTTTCTATAATATGACTAGGTCAGTTCTCAAGTGTATTAGTCTAACATCTATGCATCAGAACATTTCGGTATTTCAATCATAGAGAAATATAAAGAGAGCAATCCGTTAAATTGTAACTACAAATACAAATATATTAATTTTACAACCGCTTACAAAACCTCAAACTAAAAAGCTGAGTATAGAACTCAAGGTGTAGTATTGGTATTCAAATTACTTTATTCCTTGAACAAGTTAGGTCACGCAAATGACAAACTGTAAATGTATGAAGAAGACAGTGTATTTGTTAACATAATGTATTACCTCATTTAAATGATCAATGTCACTATGCTTTTAAATTGTTGAAAACATATTAATGCTTTTAAAGATTTAAGAGAAGAGCTTATTGGAAGACGTTATCAACACCCCTTGAATTCCTTGCCAGTCCGTCATCTTCATGTATAAAAGGCCTTCAAAATTTGGTATGCACATGTGGAATAATTTATACATGCAGCACAGACTATTTTTTTCAATAGCAGGCGGTGAGTTCTTCAGGTATATTTTTCTATAATATGACTAGGTCAGTTCTCAAGTGTATTAGTCTAACATCTATGCATCAGAACATTTCGGTATTTCAATCATAGAGAAATATAAAGAGAGCAATCCGTTAAATTGTAAATACAAATACAAATATATTAATTTTACAACCGCTTACAAAACCTCAAACTAAAAAGCTGAGTATAGAACTCAAGGTGTAGTATTGGTATTCAAATTACTTTATTCCTTGAACAAGTTAGGTCACGCAAATGACAAACTGTAAATGTATGAAGAAGACAGTGTATTTGTTAACATAATGTATTACCTCATTTAAATGATCAATGTCACTATGCTTTTAAATTGTTGAAAACATATTAATGCTTTTAAAGATTTAAGAGAAGAGCTTATTGGAAGACGTTATCAAGGTGCCACACTTGATAACAAGTGTGGTAATGTTGCAAAAAAAAAACACAAAGAAGATGATGATGTCAATGTATCAAATAATATTGTATACTCCCTCCGTCCCAATTTGATGATCCCATTTCTTTTGGGCTCAAAGATTAAGGAAGTGGTTGAAAAGGTAAAAGTTGTGGTTGGGATTTGAGTAGAAAAAGGTGAAATGATGTGGACCACATATTTCTTTCCAAAAAAGGAAATGGGACTATCAATTTGGGACGGCTCAGAAAGGAAATACAGGATCATCAAATTGGCACGGAGGGAGTATAAAGAAATATTTTTGAATTTATAAAATGCTCAGAAGTTGTTGGTAATACTGAATTTGGCAGAATCTGCGTAAATCGGTGAAATTTTAGCTGAAGCGGTTGAATGGACTGAATTTGCTGAATTGTGAAAAAATTATATTTGAAATATATTTTATTAATAAAGTAAAGAAAAAATGAAAAATAGCTAAAATGATGCTTTATAGTGAGTTAGTGACTTCAAGTTATTCAGTTAGAAAAGTAATTTCAATTTAATTTATTTTGATTATCACATGCACAATTTCATGTGAGTTGGGGCTACCAAATGAACTCTTATTATTATTTGTTATATGGTGATGTTTATTTAATAAATTGAATTTACTATTTTTATATTTAGAGTAACATTAATTCTAAATACATTGAAAAATGTATTCAAAGAATAGAACAATATCCCGTGCATCGCACGGGTACTATACTAGTATAGTGGGCATATGATAAAAGGTAGTTTGCATCGGGTAAAGATTATACCTCGATGATGGTTCCTTTGGTTATGACGCCAAGAGATGTATACATTGCACCATTTGGGTTTTTCTTCACACCAATGATTTCAAGATTGAAAGTACACTTGAGTTCAGGGTGCGTCACATGAGCTTTAGTGAAACGCATGCCTGAGGGTCGTATGAAACGCTCATACTTTGGAGGTTTTCTAGTAAAAGTTGGACCTACAAAAGTGGCTTTTGTGACCATCCTCTTCCATTGTTTGGCTGCATTACAAAGCAAAACAACATTTTCAAAAAATGTTGGGTGGTTGAGAATGAACTTTCTGGAACATACAAAACACCACACTATCAACAAGCAATCACACATAGACTGAGTGTTTATCTATACAGAAGCAAAACAACATCAGAAAACAATGTGAAGCCTGAAGTCTAGGAGGACAATCAAGCAAATAAAGGTTTATCTACACAAGGTCACACATAGACACTCCTATAGCAAATAAATCAAGCAGGAAGATCAAAAATTTTAAAAAGAACTTCAAATAAAAAACAAGTAAATGCATGATGTATGTAACTAAGTACATTGTGGAGCACTTACTCTTTCTTTTGCCAGTTCTGATCACTTTAAACATTTCATCTTCAGCCACAGGCCTTACCTGGGAGGTAGATATAGCAATTTAATTAAGTTTCCAATTTCTGTCCCAGATAACAATATAAAACATGTGTGCTGAGAGATGCTAAAAGCAATAAAAAAACATAGGCAACATAAAAAATTACTGGCAGGATGTGATGCAATCATGCAAGTTGAATCCACATTACCTTAGGTAATGGAACATCCCATTTTCCTGCTTTCTCTTTCCTCTTTTGCTTTATGGTATTGCTGATGACCTAAAATGATCAAGAAATGGCAATTATATACTGCAGATGAAACAGGGGAAAAGTACATAGTTTGGTAAATAACATGCCTTCGCTCTTGTGGTACTTTCACGATCAAGAAGATAGGCTGGAATAGCTCCATCGTGTACTTCATCATCAACCTTTTTCCTTGAAGATGACTCTTCATGCATTGCCAATCTGATTACATCATTACATGACAGCATAATAAAATATAAGCATGGGCGAAAGATTTATCCACACTCTGAAGTATTGATATCCAAAACCCATTCCTTTCAATGTTTGCAGCAAGTGGTAAACCAGACATGATTTTTGTTGAAAGTGATAGCAATATGTTTAAATTGAATGCGACAATGCCGATACTATATGGCAAAAAAAGGATTCCTATGTGAAAAAAAAAATTACAAAGTTAAACTCGAATATATTACATGAACCCGAAAGAATCTAGCTTACGTTTTCTTCATCAAGGCCTTTTCACGGTAGTTCTTCTTAGCGATCATCTTACCCTTGATACCCAGAGTCTGTTCCAATACCAGGAAAAGTTAACACTTAGATCACAACCCAAACAGAAATCGAAACAGCATCCATATGGACATGCGAGGAGTGTTAGAAATGTAGAAAACAGCACCTTTTGAGCAATCTGGGAATGCCTGTGAGGCTCACGAGCCTCCTTCTTGCGTTTCTTCTCGAAGTGATCCAAGCGGAAGCCATATCTCTTCCTGTGCAGCTCTATGTAATCTCCCTGTGGCTGTTAGGAGAATTTCAAGCAGTATCAGCATTAGATAATTGATAATTGGCAAAAAACAATGCAACAAAGATGATCAGCGACGAACCATGTTTCAGAATTTCAGAAGGCTTGAACCACGAAAACTATCAGACAGGGCCGGGCCTGAGAAAATGGAGACTCTGCGCAGCAACAAAATTTGGGCCTTTTCCAAGTTCCAACACAAGTAATATGTGTTAAAATACAAGTTACTAATGAACAATAAAAATAAAAGAAGTCATTAATAAAATACATTTTGTTTACAACGTGACATTCTTCGAGCTTCTTTTTTAGACAAGGTTAAATTGTCAAGTTTTCTTTTCTTTTGAGGCTTCTCATGACCGAATGGGTATTTATTTGGAAGCATAATTACTACCAGTTATTGAAATTCTCCTCTAATATTGTACATGTTTATAAATTTTAAATTAAAATTCAGTATTAATTTAAGATGTAATCATAAAAGAGTATATAGTATAATATAATTTACGAAACCTCAAGTTACCTAAATACGGAGTATGTATCTATACCAATTTCTTAAATCTTAATTGTTAAACATATTTATTATCAATCCAATTAATCATTTACTTTAACTCAAAAAATAAATAAACAACAACAATGCATCAATTCAACCAATAATCAACATGAAATCAGTTTCAGTAATTTGGAATTAAACAAATCAGAAATCTGAAAATCATAGATGAGTTGAGTTTCTTACTGAGTTACTGCCAATACTGTGCAGTTGCGGACCTGTGGTGGAGCGGTGGAAAGACTTGATTCGAGGAGGCGGAGCGCGGTGGTCCAGTGGCGGTCTGGCACTGGTGATGGGTGGCGGCGGTCGTCAGTGAGTCGGGCGAGTCGTCGCCTTCGTCGGTCCTCCTTCAGTGCTCCGTGTTTCCAAGAGAGCGAAGGTTTCCAAGAGAGTTAGGACGCTATGATTGGGCTGGAGTATCCTACTACGTACTAGTCTTTTGTTTTTCTGGGCCTTCCAAAATTTAAGCTCTGTGCGGTTGGGCTGGTTACACCTGCCCTGGGCCGACCCTGCTATCATAGAAGGGAGGGAGTTTAACCTACTTTTGAACTTTTTAAAGTGATTTGGAACGAAGGGGGTGTTTGACAATTGGTTGTTGGCGGTTGGCTGTTAGCTGATTGTGTTGGCCAATTGTTAATAGCGGGTTCTGTTGGCAGTTTTGATTAGCCGATAGTATTAGCAGTTTGTAAAATGGTGTTTGGTTAAACAGCTTTTTATAATTAGCTGATAAGTTGTTAAATGACTATTAAGGACATTGATTAATTTTTAGTTAATGTAATTAATATAACATCCTAAACCGTTTGTGTGATTTGAAATGTAAAATTTCTCTACAAAATTATAAGAGTGAATGAGAGTAAGACTATTTTAGGTATAAAAAATTTGTTGGTAGTACATCAAAATTTATTCATGTACTGCGTCTGATCGTCTTACAAACGTGCAACATTATACCGTTATTAACGCCCCTTCTTCTGTTAAATCTTCTACGCTTACTTCCGTTTATACGCAAACCCCAAAATTATTAAAATATTACGGAGCATTGAAGTTTCGAAGCGAGATATAAAAAAATATGTCGTTTTTGTTTGCTCTTCATCTTCCCCTACTTTCTTCGAAGTTATTGAATCGGTTTGATCATTCATCTTCCCCTGTTTTCGTCGAAGGTATTGTTTTTACTTACCCTTCATTTGCATATTAATTTCCCTTTGAAAAGTTTTAATGCTTAACGATTTCAAAATTGAATCTCCATTGTAACCGTGGGTTATTCCAGTGCATTGAAATTGGGAAGTTATGGCAAGTGAAGAGGCTCTCACAAATTCAGCCATTCTCCCATTTTCTTGTTTGAATTTGGGTTTCTCACTTGGCGTTGGATTTCCTATACTATTCACCGTTGTTCTCTTGGTAAGCTATTTGACCCCTGACATTTGTCTACTTCCTATTTTTGTTCAATTGTGTCCATTATTGGCTGCATGTTAGCTTTCACTATTGAATCTTGTCCGCTTGAACTGAATGTAGTTGTGCTTAATCTTGCAATTTAGATTTCTCTTAAACCTCAAGTAAGTCTTGAAGTGGCAACTGCAAAAAATCAGAAACATTCCTAACAAAGTACCGCCAAGACAGTCCCACCCCAAACTTATAAAGTACTTTCTGGTGTTACTCTCCCTGCAATGAACAAGTATACGAAAATATTAGTTCTCATTAATACATTAAGTGGATGAAATTCAATTCTGGAGGTAGATACCTTGAAAATAGCAATAAAAAGAGGAAGCACATAGATGATGTACAGTGTGCACTATTCTAAAAGCACTCTTTTGGTAGAGAACTAGAGAATTCATAAAGTAAATGAACACAAACTCTTACTTAAAAGTGGTTTCTAATTGTTCTTCTGAAACAAACTTTATTTCTTGGCACCAAACCTGAATTGTGATTACATATATGACCTAAATATGCATATAGCAATCTATTATGTTTCTTTTTCCCACGTTAAAGTACTATGAAACTTCCAAATTATGAAATAGACACTAGTGCAAAATATGCCTTTTATAACTAGGATTTCGTATGGGTTGTTTTAGAACCGTTGTTGTATGTCAACGCGGGGTCGTAGTTATAATTAATAAAAATATGTGTGCTAGTTCAACGGGTAAGTTTTGTAAAAATAAACTACCATCAATAAAGGCTCTTCATTTAGCCGACATAATATACCGGAACGGGGTAATTTTACTAATTTTCGTAAAACTAAGCTAGGGACGGGGTCTTTTTTATAAATCTTAATAATACATTTCTACGCCGGGCTCGTATTCAACCCTTGTCGAATGATTTTAAGATTTTATTTGCAGACAAAATACTCCGTATATGAGAGACATAGAGCATCTAGGTCAAAACAAATCCCACTTCGATCGAGGGCACCGCACGAAACTCCGACTTCCTCCAGCCAATCACCCTTTCTACCTCGAAAATCGTAGATGGTCTGTTGCTTCCTATTACCCTCTATCAACGCCAACCAGACCACCTCTCATCCACCATAGGTAAAATTACATTTTGAGTATATACTTAGCCATTTAGGGTTCGATTATTGTACGTGGTTTTGCTAAATATTTCATAATTAATGCCCTTTGACCTATGTACCAGTGGCTGTGAGAATTGAAGTTGGATTGGAGGAAAGAGATTGAATAATCGAATCACCGGAGAACGAGATGGCGAATAGGGGGCCGATGGTGATAGCAGTGGTGCTCTTTACACTGGGTTTGTTCTTCCAGATTCCAGAGAAGTCCGTCCCAGGGATTCAGTTTGAGAATATGCAGACTAGAGCGATTTCTAATTGGTCATCATAGTTATCTTCTTCTGCCTCGTCACTATTCTCTTCATCGCCGTCATAGTTCACATCTACGCTGGTTGGATCTCTTTTTAGTCTTCTTTTTGTCTTTTTTCAGAGTATGCATATATAACCCCCCTCTGTCTACTCTACACTATTATACCATATTGTAGTTCACATTGTATACTTTCCAGAGCAATTTATCTTGAATTAGTATTTCGTTTGGATTCAAATACGATTGATAGACTGAAAGTGAATCTATCAAGTGTCTAGATAAACTTATACGGAGTATAATAAAGTTCTGTTAAGATTTTAAAAACACTTGTTTGCACTTAGGGTTTAGTTATTGTGTATGTTTAGAATGTTGGATAAAGCATGGAATTTTTTTTTTATCTTTGCAATGTCTATTACATGTGAAAGCATTGTTGAGATTTTCTAATTATGAATGTTGCTTCAAAAAAGTAATTCTTTTAGCAGTCCAGAAAAGAAAAAAACCAGTTAATCTCCGCTATTGTCTAATGATCTTGTAACCTTTAGCGAAGATTAACTGTTTAATCTCCAGGTGAATAACTCATATGATCTATTCAAGACAGAATAGAGTGATAAACAATTATTCTTTTAGAGTTCTTATCCACATCATTTAGGTTTATTTTCTATATTTTATTCTTTTATACAAGAATGCAAAACCTGGTTCTGCTCCATTCTATTGAAAGTTTTACTAGAAAAGAAAGAACATTTGGTCCTAGTGAGGTATCATCATTTTCCTTGTGTAATGAATTTGATGTTTCAGGGTACTTCGATTGCATGTTAGATGTTCCATATATATGTTTTGGAGTGTGTTAGAAGACAAAACATATTATTTCCTGATTTCTTATGAAAATAATAATTGGTTGACTAAAAACTGAATGTGTGTGTCTATACATCTTATTCAATTGCCTGCAAGTGTGAAAGTACATATTATTAATAGAGAGAGAATTTTATCTTTCAATTTTACTCTTCTATAATTCTTTTTCATTATATAGCAACACTCTTTAATCATTACTATTTTTGATCTCTAAACAATCTTTAGCATGGAAAATGGTCAATTTACACTTTTGAGACATCAGTTGGATGTATATGCATGTCTACATGTAAGGACATTACTCCTTTATATGGTAAAACTAGGTATACTCATTCTGAAACAATTTCTGTTTTTCCTCAACACTGTGAGCTATCCATTGAAATATCTGGGCAGGCATAGAAGCACAAGTAAAGGTATATTTAATCTCGGTATAGTTATTTCTTGTTATACTTCTTTACCTTTTATACTTCATTCTCATTTCTGCATTACTCTGAATTTGTTATATACTCCGTGTATATGTATATTCGTTATGCACTGCTCCATTTATATTTTAGTAACTTTTTTACATTTTCAAATATTATCAACTTTCTGACTGTTTCATGTATGCAGGTTCTCCTAGTTTTTTGAGAGGTAATTATCTTGCTTGTTGCTTATAAAATTCTTCTGTTGCAGGGTATAAATTTCATTGATGTATTCTATTTGACATGGAAGAAAGAGATTCAAATTTTTAATTGGCTTCTGAGGCTTGAGGTTTCAATAAAGCAAATATGTTTTGCGGCTGGAGCTCCAAAGATGTTTTCCAGACTTGAGGCAACGTCTAATTAGATCAAGTAAATTCTTTGGGGGATGTTAATAGGTTAGAGGCTCTTTGATTTTTTAACTAATTTGGTTTGTAATTTCTGTTGTATTAGAAAGCTTGTTAGCTTGGGAAAAAAAAGCTTGTTAGATACTACTTCGTATGATTTAAGTGTGTTATTATAATATAATACATTTGAGTTAAGTAATTGTAATTATCATATATTTGAATCAAGTGTTTGTAATTATAATATTTTAAATGAAGCTTGTAATTATAATTTTTGAATGAAGTGTTTGTAATTTCTGCAGGTTTACATGTATAGAATAAAATTACAGAGAAGTTGACAATGTAGAAAGCTATTTATTTATTTATTTTATAAAAAAAAAATACTTTCTATAACGGTTGTCTCATAACCGATATAAAATCTTTTCAATATGGGGTACAACCACCCGATAGGAAATGTTTGAGACTTTCTATGTCGCCTGTATCTATGTCGGTTCACACCCGACATTAAAAAGTCGATTTTATCCCATATTAAATGTCTGTTTTCCACTAGTGAGATTATGTTGGGACATGCTTTTACTTGGGCTGTGGAGTTTTAATGGTCTCTATACATTAGTGGCTAATTTTGCCTTTGATGTTATTTTGACAAAGGAATTTATTTTGAAGTTTATGTATCTTTGTATATAGAACCATACGTACATGTTAAATGCTGACATTGGAAAATAAGTCTGATATCATTGTAAGTTGATCAATCCTTTAGTTAAGCACAGTCGATTTTAAGAAAGTCATTGATGCATGTCATAATTGTGTTGTTCATCCTTAAACCTTATTACAGAATCTCTTTATTTTTTGGAAAATTTGATGTTAATAATCCCACCTTTATTCTATCTTCTTAAAACAATCCCGCTTTAGATTAATCTGAAAATAATCCAATCTTTATAACATGTCTTTTAATAGTGGACCGTGGTGACTTGGTACCTCTTACACAAGTCAAATGCAATT